ATAACTGGAAACACTGCCATAGGCTGTGGGACACACGGCAGTGACAGGACAGGGGCCTCCTTGTCTTTGGGGAGCTGAGGGTCTGGTATGGGGAGAGCAGGGTTAATAGCACCCAGAAAACTGGTGTCAGGTGTAGACCCAACAGCAGCGAGATGGGGGGCCAGCTGGGCCAGGAACCTTCCTGGTGAGAAAATAGGGTCCGCAGGCATCAGAGGACACTGAGTGTCCCCTCCTCCCGGGGCCGGTGGCTCCTTCCTGGAGCTGCTGGGACTGTGCTGGCCAGGCGCCCCCTCGCACTGCTGTGCGCCTGTGGGTGGGCGTGGTCCTGGGACATCTGTAACCGCCTGGGTCCCCCCAACAGGCCCTTTATTGGAGTCCATTCTTGGGCAGTTGGGCTCCCTGAGGGGAGCCTTTCAGAAGCAGGCCCAGGCACAGCGGGGGGGCTGCAGGAGCGGCCCTGGGCCAGGCCGCACAAAGGCTGGCCCCAGGCATCTGCATGTGAAAGGCGAGTGGGCATTTACTGCATCCTGTCCCAGGCCACTAAAGCACATCTGCTGGGCAGGCCGTGGCCTTTTGGGGGCCGGCGGAAGGAAGCAGGCTGCTTCTCAGGGCCGCCTCATAAAACAGCTCCCACCCGGACGGCCCCAGTCACCCCAGCGCCAGGGACCCGACCCAGGACCCTCCTTCTGAGGGGCCTCAGTGGGACCAGAAGCGTCGGGAGTCTGAAAAGCCAGGCAGCTCTTGGAGCTGCGAGGACTGGGCCGGGGAAGGCCGCCAGCCCGCAGGCTCTGCGCCGCCTGGTAGCCCTGCTGACCTGGCACCAGTGGCAATCACAGCTAGTGGGGACCTCTGCCAGCCAGGCGCCTCCCCTGTCTGGCCCATCCATCCCCACCCGGGACTGTGCACCTGCCGCAGGGGGCACTGAGGAGAAGGGGGGGTGTTTGTTTGCATTTGTGGAGGCCAAGAGGGGCTTTCCTGACTCAGCTTGGACCTTGGACCCTGGCTTTGTGGAGAAAGTCACATTGTTGTCACCCACTGTGGGGACGCTGGAGGCCTCAGTCGGAAGCGCTCAGGCTCACGGCCCTGGCTCTGTCCTCTGACACCTGCAGTTGGGGCGGCAGCAGCCATGGTGGCTTCGTTCAGATCAGCACTAACGTGTGAACAGACAGGATTTATGCACACAGGGCTGGGGCACAGGCCAGAGGTGCAGGGGTGAGAGGACTCCCCAGAGACAGAGTGGGGAGCAGAACAGGCAAATCAACGAAGTGCACTGCTGAGGGGAGCAACGGGGAGACGGAGGGGTCTGCAGAGGGGTCTGCGTGCCCTGGGGGTCCCCCCCTGCTGCAGTGCTACACACAGCCTCAGGGCTTTGCATTAAGCCCTGCGCCTCCAGGGAGGCCCAGCAGGTGGGTCTTCCCACCTTTCCCTCTGTCTCTTTCCAAGCCCACATGGGTTTAAGAAGCAGCCACTCCCTTCCCAGACTGGACCTGTCCCTGGGGTCCCCATCACACCCTTCCCAGGAGGCTGGCGTCTCCACACTTCCCGGCGTCACC